AAAGGCCGGGGGAGCCACGCAAAACCCTTCCTGTAGCAAAAAAAAAAAAAAAAAAAAAAAAACGACATCCACCCGCAGACAGCACACTGGGCCAATCAATTCTCAAATTTCCTCTTCTACCTTCCCAGATATTTTCTCCCAACCTTTGGTCTTATTCCTCCCCATCCCCCCTTCCTCTTTTGTGGGGAAGGTAAATCCAGTTCCTCAGACGATCAAATGAACTTTCTGAGCCCCTTTATTCCGTGGGAGCCTTGTCCCTGTAAGCCTGTGGAAAGTGTCTGACAGAAAAGCGTTAAAATGTGACAAGGGCTTTTAAGAATAAGATCTTGAGTGAGTCCCGATGGGTTCTGAGAAAAGCGGCAGGAATTTTTCAGCAGACAAAAAGGTAGATGTTTACCCCCAGGTGGACAGAAAATACCAGTTTCCTGGGTTTTCCTTTTCTTTCCAAATCGCCAGAGCAGCCATGACAAGTGTCTTTGTGGCAATGCAGTTCCTCCGAGGATAAAAACAAACTGCCCAGGAACTTCTGCCCAGTGCCTGCGGAGGGTCTACCCTGCGGATTTACAGCTCTCTACCTCCGCCTGGGTTAAGCTGAATATCTACTTCCCCAAAAAAAGAGGAATGCTTCTTTGATGGGTGGCAACAGGCTCCAGAAATCCATTCCAAAAAGAAGACTGCGTTTGCAGCTTTATTCTTCCTGAATGTGTTGAAGCTCTGGAAAAATGCCCAAGAAACGCTACAAATGCATTTCAATGTCCTTTCAGTTGCTACTTGCAGCCCTGCAAGCCAGGAAAGGAAAAACTGCGGCCTTTCACACTGCACAGCAAGTCCACAGGAAAAAGGCCCTCTTCTCAGGAGCCAGGTTCACGCAGCCAGCGAGGCGCACAGGCCCCTTCTTCCCCTCGGTCGGGAGAGCAGAGCATCGGCAGCCCCAGAGGGTCTGCGCCCGACTCGGAAACCCACTGGCTCTGTCCTTCCTGAGGTCTGCCAGCCTTCCGCCTGCATTAAGGTAACCTGCCCACAGTGAAACACTCGTTCGCAAAGTTTTCCGACAACTTCTGTGCAAGCCAGGTTCACCCCTGGCACACTGTCAGGTCGCCCTAAGTCCTCTCACGCCCATGCCCGAACACGTGAGGCCACCGAGGTCCCGAGTCCCGAAGCCTGGACGGAGCTCGGTGGAGCAGGGGTTAGCGAGCGCCGTTCGGGGCGGGCGTGCGGGTGTGCGGGCGAGGCCAGTTCCTGGGACGCAGGAGCAGAGGAGCTGTGTCGTCCTCGGCACAGGAAACGCGTCTCCGCGGCTGTCCCCGGTGCCGCAGCCCTAGCAGAACAGCCACTCGCCGGCTGCCGCGCCCCTGGAAACCCAGCCACTCGGCACTCATTTCTTCCCTTCCCCTGGCTTGCATAGCAACAGCCAATGCACACCCCGGAGACGATTTGGATGGTTATCAGAGTCCCCCCTAAATCTGAAGCCAAAGAGCTCTATCCTTCCCAAACCGTGGTCTTCATTAGAAGCAGACAAAAACGGCAAAATGTGAATGAAATGCTGTTTGTGTGAATGAAAGGGCTAGCGAGCGAGCCAGCGTTTCTGTGAATGAAGCAGGGCCTTGCAGCCGCTGCCAGGCAATCCCCTGGGCTCCGGCGGCCTCAGCCAATGAGCGGCTGCCCCGATGACTCATTCAACAAAGGCTTGCTCAATAGTGGAAGATTCCATTTCAGTCAAAGGCGGGATCTTGTCTCCAACGGCAGTGTGGGAAAAAAAAAAAAACACCAACCTGATTGCAAAGATATAGGGCGGAAGGGAACTGAATGCTGCGATGGAGAGAGGAAAACCTCGTTTTGCCGGAGAATTCAGGATCCGTTGGTCGCGTCTGAGTGACCGAATGACTGACTCGGAGGGGAACAGTGCCCCCAGACTTTCATTCAGCCGTTCATTTACACAGAGCAGCAGCCATGAATGTGCCATCGGCTCCCCCCCTCTTTTTTATTGTACCT